ATTTACCTGCAGGGTTCTATTTATTCTCGAGCCCAACTGAGTAGCGGCGTCAAAATAAGTTTAAGTAGCTCTGTTCATACATAAATATATTTGTGCATTTCAACATACATATGTACGTAATAATATATGTATATGCATGCATGTGTGTATATATAATATTTATGTATATTAGACTTTGTGTCCTTGCTCCCAGCCAGTCCTGTCTTTCGATTGTTGCTGGTCATGCTATTGCCGACGCCACTTTAGTGCTGAGCACATCAAGTTATCATCATCACCATTTTCCGCCACAAGCTTCATCTATTAATTACCTCTTTGCTTTGTAGAGTTGTTAATAAGCAAGTTTGCCGGTTATTTGCAATTTCTCAGATAGTTGAGGCGATTTCTCTGTTGTTGTTGTTTGAGGCTGCGGCCAGTTTTGTGGTTGGTAGCAGAGGCTACAGATTTTATGACTTTTATTTAATGTAATTAATTTTTCCTCATATACAAAACTACGTATATACAACCTGTATATGTACATATATATATTTGTTTGAGCACCTGCACTTTGTTATTCCGCTCGTATTTCATTACACAAACAGATGTTCTTAGTTATTTCCGCTGGAACAAGTTGCACATAAGAGTATGCAAAAAAAGTAAAAAAAAAAAAAAAAATAAAAAATCAATTCCATCAAAATTTTGCAAGTTATGCGCAAATTCCACTCTTAACTCTGAATTTATATTGCAAAGTTTGCTTCCTTCAAAAATTCATGCTTTTATTTACACTCAGGCTTCCAATGACGGGTTGCACGCCGAATAATGACAGTAGCTTGTGTTGTGTTTACACATTTGTGGAGGCATCGCTCGGAATTTGTTATTTGGCGCCACCGAAATTGTGATAATGTGAAAAATAATGGCAAATTTACTGTCACGCTGGGGGCAACGTGCAGCCCACTTTAGAGCAAATGAACGCCTTCAAAGTTTGGCATGGAGGCACCGTTTGATTACAGGTTGCCGGCAGTATGTGTAGGTACGGACATGATATTAAGCGTGTGCACATTTGCATCTGCTGTTTTTTATTTACCGAAATGTCTTTTAGCTTGCACCTTTTTTTTGCAAGTACACATCGTGTTACATTAGAACAAGAGAGCTCTTCCAGTGGCTTCAAAATAACGGGTCATCTAGGTAGTGGTAGTGCTTTTTTCAATAGCCTTTTTTTTGATCACGCGTGAGTCGTTTCAAGTTGTCATTTTTGGCTCAGAATTGTTTGGCATTTGATCAGGAAAAGAGTTTACAAATCGTAAACTTTAGTACGAAAATTCTCGTTCTCTAAAGAATGTGTTTCTTGCGCTTCGCTCAACTTATGGTCAACATAATCGGTCGGTACGCTCAGTACTATTCCCTCTTGAAACCCAGCATTCATTATTGCATAATATTCGACCGAATAGACCACGTCCAGCACGCAGTGAAGAAAATAAAGCGGCCGTACTTTAGGGTGTACACGAGGTCCGTGGAGAGTCGATTCGGTGCCGTTCACAGCAACTCGACTAACTCTACTATTACGTCGATATCTCAAATTAAAAGCGTACAAAATACAGCTCGTGCAAGAACTGAATCGCGTGACTTTTTCAAGCAACATCGCTACGTTCTATGGGCTCATAAAACAAATAAATTCTCGGCATTTGGCATGAAGAGCAACCTGAAAAGATTCAAGAGCTGCCATTTCATACAGCAAAAATAACGATTTGGTGTGGTTTGTGCGCCGGTGGAATCATCGGTCCATTTTTCTTCAAAACTGATGTCGGTGAGAATGCCACCGTCAATGGTTATCGTTACTATGCCATGGTGACGGACTATTTGATGCCTGAAATTTAAGTTCGTGATCTCGGCGACATTTGGTTTCTACAACACACTAAGATCGTGTGATATCACACCGTTAGACTTTTTCCTGTGGGTATAATGTAAAGTCACGCATGTCCATGCAATCGCCAGTAGCCAGTTGAAATGCTCAAGCAAGTAAAGAGATAATCTTCAAAAAAAAAAAGTCAAAGAATGTTCTTTCGAATGATAATAAACATTCCCCATCGAATTTGAATTTTTTGTGTTTTTTTTTTCTTTAAAAAAGTAGGGAACCTCGAAACGAGTCATTCTTTATTTTAAAGGCAATCAGCTGATGGTATGACAAAACAGTAAACAAATAACAGTACAGAATACGGGAAGTTCTTATAGGAAACAGAAATGTCGTTTGAAAAAATAGTATCATAGTTATCTTGCCTGATTGTGACATATGCTGAGCAAGAGACGAACTATAGGTGAGCAGAAGGCTTTAAATCTTTCAAAAAATACCACGTGATTCACAAAGAGGCAGCCGGTCATGGCTGCTGTGCGTAACCTTGATAAACCTGTTCACGCCAGGGGAAAACTGTAAGGTACACAAAATATTATTCTGATGATCTTGTCATCCTATCCTCTGGCAAACATCCCAGCCGACTTTCACACATAATAGAGAGGAGGTCATTTGAAATCACTGCTGATAGGGCTGAGAAACAAGGACTCTCAGTAAGCTTGGGAAGATCTAAGATCTGCCTCTTTACTAGAAAGAGGAGAGTTCATCAATTCGATCCACTATTTTTAAAGGGAAATTTTACAATTTCCTTTAACTTTGTTAAGTAAAAACCTTAGCTGGAGGGAACATGTTGACCGCAAAGTCCTTAAAGCGCTACGAATTTGGAATATCCCATATGGTTGTCTTTGACTTTGACTTTATTGAAGTGTCGTAAGTCCCATACTACATAACAAATGAAGTACAAGGGAGGTTTGCTATATTAAGCCATTGCAATAGGTGTAAGGTATCTGTCTACTTGGTATAGAAAACGCAACGAGGACTACAAAAACCAAGGCACTAAAACGACAGTTGGGTTCAGAAAATTATATCAGAACTCCGACTAATCTAAAATGTAACTAAGAAACAAAAACCTTCTGCAGAACGAAAGGAAGGCTGGCCCATCGGGAAAAACGAAGATAGAAGATATCTATACTGATGGGTTTAAATGTGTAGCAGGGGTTTATTCTGTCTCCGAACCTTCAGCGCCTTCAAATATTGATTAAAACAGCGGACCATAGAGGAACGCTTACGGTCTTGAAACCCTTTCAACTTAGGACGTACCACCAAATTATTGTTGCGTAGCGTGGGTAGTAGACAGAAAGACATACAGAGAGACAGGCAGACAGAGAGCGAATGATGACTGGTGAGGAAAAGTGGATCCCTTATGACAATGTCAAACGAAAACGGTCGTAGTCGAAAGGCAGTGAACTGCTACAAAAGGCGTCCAGAGCCTAAATTGATGGTCAGAAGAGTTTTCTTGTGAGTTTGATGTCTCAATTTGGAGCCGTGCTGTCAGCAATTGGAGTTTCTGAAGGAAGCAATCGTCCAAATTTGTCCAACAGCAGAGGAATTGAGTTTCATCAGAACAACGCCAGACTATACACATCGATGGTGACTCGCCCAAAGCTTCGAGAGCTTGGTTGGGATTTTCTTAAGGATCCATTTCATAGACCGAACATCGTACCAGGGGATTGTCATCTGTTCTTGTACATTGCGAATGCTGTGGCTGGTGAATAGTTAGCCTCCAGAGTAGCCTATAATCGATTGTACAAACAGATCAAGGGAAAGATATAATGACAGCACACTTAAAGAGCAAAAACTTATCGGGCAAAACGGTGAGTATTTGACAGAAATCGGCGAATTTTAATTATGGTAAAAAAGCCTTTAACTCAAATAAAAAATAAAGTATGACTTTTTATTGGAAATTTTCAGAAAATATTAGAATTTTTCAATGTTAGGATGGGTTTTCTGAAACGGCTGCAGTCTGAACAGTGCCAGTGATGGAGATCGTGCTTTGTATCTGAAACGGTCAAAAAATTTGTTTTTAATTTCTATTAGTGTCTCTTCTATATAAAAAAGTACAGCAGAAATCGGAAAAAAATAAATTTTTTGCAAAAAAAAAATTTAAATAATACTTTTGTCCAACTTTTTCAGTGCAAATAGAAGATAATTTGATTTTTTTCGATCGGGCAATTTTTTCTAAAACACCGACACCGTTTTCTAGTTCTAGCTTCCAAGTTTTGACCGAGCACTCGAAACTGCTCGACGCTTGGCACCTAAAACTTCTTTCGCTTCTAAAATATATCGAATTGGCCACAGGAGTTTTGAAGACATATTCTTGGATAGTTTTAGATATAGAATTGAGGAAAAACAGCAATGCATTTTTTGAAGCTTATTTCCCGCAGACTTTTCCCCTTACTTTCTCGTAAGCAATTTTGATATAATTTATTTTCTTTTCAAGTATTTTCATATTTTTTTCTGCACTTTTTAAGTTCAAGGAAATTTAATATCAATCAAAATTTAATAGCTGCGTGCTACTGTTCAAAATAATATCATTTTCTAATTATTGATCTGAGCAACACGACAACAGACTAAAGGAAAGTCCTTCCGATCGGTGGTGAATTACGAAAAAAGAGGAACAAAATTGTATTAAATCTCATGTAAAAGTGTTTGTATGTGTATTTCTTCTTCCACTGAAATATAAAACTTTTGACCAAAATTATTTGTAGCGCATGCAATAACAATAACAGCCGGAATCTAAAATGCACCTGCCACCAGTGGCACGAAATGTTGCCTCTAAGGCACAGGGTTAAATGTATGCATGTACGTACAGCTTTGTGAGTTTGTTGTTGGTTGCAAGCGTGCTGATTTCGCTTTGAAAGAGAACAAAATTAATCTTTGTAATTTGATATTTTCAAAAATAATTTGATGTCTCAATTTTGGACAGCTGAGTTGAAGCGTAAAGAAAGAAAGCTTTCGCCAAGTGTTGCACAAAGATTCAGATTACATAACGTACTTATTGTTTGCATATATACTAGTATATAATATATTATTTATGTATTTTTTTTCAGTTTTGCGGAACACTACCTAAATGTGCTTTTATATCTACATGTATATATATATATGTACATGTATGTAAGTACATACATACATCCAATAAACCGAATCTGCAATCCAATTAAATGCTTAGTGTCAATTAAAAATTTAAATTTAATTGGCTACACATTAAACGACGAATGGGCACAGATTAAAAACTCATTAGGAGAGACAAGTGATTAACAAACCGAAAAAAGGTAGAAATACACACACACATACACAAGTACATCCACTGGATAAAGTAATGATGGCTTTAAAATCAAGTTAAAAGGCATTAAAATACCTTAAGGCCAAATTACAGGTTTCACATAACGGCAGAGACACATTAAAAATCGCGCAGAAGGACCTTAACAACATCGGATAATGCACGTCTGCGTAGTGCTGCATGGGTTTTAGTGAGCCGCATTGTAAGTGAGTAGAACGTCGTCAGAGTGGAATTTAAATTTCTTTATTCCAATTTTTTGTTTTCCTTTCTACTTCATTCTCTACCTTCGGGGTGATAGGAGGAAAGGTGGACACTTCGCGCAATGTTTAATTCCCAACATTTGTGGCCAATTTAAATTAACGATCCGCGTAAATGCTTACCATTTAACACGAGCTGAGGGTTTGGCGAGAAAATGAATCTTCCGATGAGGAATTTATTATACTTTTAATCTTAAGATTCGGCAGTTTGTGGCTTTGCAACAGTTTGTAACTAAATTCAGTTATTGCTGGTAATTGATGTATGTGCCTAAGATTACACTCTGGGGCAATTAGAAACATTTCAGTAGACATTTCGCAAAGGAAAAAAGGAAGGTAAATTAAAGTTAAAAATCGCCCTATGGCTGAGACACATATGTATTAGCAGCAAGTATTCGAAAAGTTTATTAATAACAAATTTTTTAAGTAGAAATTAAGTTCAATTAATTTTCTAACATCAAAGTTTGGCAACATCTGGAACTAACTGGCTGAAAAATAACAAATAAAAAATCGGTTACATATAGTGAAATGGAGAGTAAACATGAAATAGATAACGATAACTTGTATATTAACATTATAATAGCGACAGCAACAACAATAAGAGCCTAGAACTAGAAGACATATCTAAAAGCAGGAAAATTTATATCTCACAACGATTTGCTGGCTGCTGCTTCGACCTGCTCATCTTTGACTACTAATGCTTCTGTTAAGAAATCGCTTTAGAAAACAATCAAAAACCTTCAGCCGCTGGTTGAAGCCCAGCTGAGACTGTATAATGGTTTATGGGTCAGTATGGATGAAGAACATTGTAGCGCACTAAAAGACGGTATTGCAAGCAAATGCTACTTTGTCACTAAACTATAATAATTCCAGATACAATGTTACTTGCGAAGCATTTGTAATTGAAGGGTAAAATATTATTAGATCCGAAAAAATTTACTATATACGATCAAATCCCACCAAAAACTCCTATTCATCCAAAAAACCGACTGTCCAGCTCAAGATACATTCAAGATACCTCAGCGAAATCTAAAGATATACCTCAGAATCCATTTCGACAGGTTCGACAACACTTTGGCCTGCACAATAAGTCAAACCGGTTTGAAGAGAAGAGCCTTCTAAAGAGCGACATGAAGGTAGCAGCTCGTTCCGGCTAATGACCCTTGCGTTTTAGTTTAGTTCAAGATTTTATTACTTAGTTTTAGGCATCCATTGTCGAAGCAGATCTCCTGAGAAACGACCTGTTTCGACACTTTGCGAAAAATGGGTTAAATGAGTAGGTTTTTTGGGGTATGCAAAGTGTTGGGGGTTGGTGTCATGCGTAGTCTAATTGCAAGACAACGCCATTCCCTGTAAGAGATATGAACTCTCGGAGAATGGCATTTAATGCCGTCGGTACACTATCCAGTTCAGCGGCTCTTGCCTATTGTTTTTTGTAGTATCTCTTTCCTTTAGTAAATGTCATCGCAGCACATACTACTTGTTCAGTATAACTTTATGCAACTTTCACAGGTTGTAGTTGTAGGTGTTGTTCAGTGAACATATCAGCTTACTTTCAAATATAAGTTATCAATATACTGGCCAGACCTCAATATCGAGCATATTTCAGTTGGAGGAGGGATCTGTGAGATGTAAAAGTTAAACTGAAACGGGGAGAGGAGACCACTCTGAGGAACTTCTTATTTAATGTTATGCAGCTTAGAACCTTTGAGCTGTATACTCTACCGATAACTGTTGAGAACCCTACTTTTCGTCGGTTGAAATGCCAATATTTCTTTGTAATTAAAAGATTTATTCTTTCTTTATTTAATTTAAAAGTATTATAATTAGTTTTATTCTAACAGATCCGAATTAGGTAATCAATTCGTATCGATCTGTCTTCTATTTCGCTTCTGCTCTGTGTTCGCTTTAATCAATACAACTCTCGTTATGCTTGTCATTTGAATTGATCAATAAAGAGTTGCCAAGCAAGACATCAATCGACATATTAGGCGCTGCCAGATTAAATTTCTTACTATTAAATCAATAAGCAAAAGCTACGATTTATTGCGATAGTTTTAGTTTAAGTTAGGAAAAAGCAATACAACAGCCCGCATATGCGTGATTTGTAGAGCCTCTGTTTGCCTTGAAGCTTCTAATCTGAATAAGTACACTCTTTTTAAATTTTCAAAAACGATCCAACAAACACAGTCCACATTTTGTAGATTTCCTGTAAGTCTAAGAGTAACTATGTCAGCTGGAAAAATAAAAATCAAATAATATTTTGAATGTATTTAATTTTAATTGTTGCGAGGAAAAGTTCGTCGCAAAAGTCTTCTATATGAAAATCCAAACGAAAGCAACGAGGTAAATTTAATTATAAATTTTGCGATTTCGAAAACAAACGTAAACAAAATGCACTAAAGAAATCTTTCAATGAAATTTCCTCTATTTTTATTATAAATTTTGAGCCTTGGCATTACTCACATACATAAGTGTAACACTAAATCATTACGATGACCGCCTCGCGAATTTTTACAAACTTCGATCCTTTTTGGCTCATTTTCGACTACTTTTTGACACACGTTGGGGGTATCTTAACCATATCTAGACGAATGTTGGCTTTCAAGAGGTCAAGTCATAAATACAATCTTTATCGGGGGCCCATAAAAAATTGTCTAACGGTGTCAAATAACGCGATCTCGGTTACCAATAGACATCGCCAAGACAGAAGATTACGCAGCTGGGAAATTTCTCCCGTAATAAGATCTTATTCGCTTCTCCTAGGGCACAAAGCGTGATTTAAATCACCATTTTTGTAGCGGGGTTTGACACTTCTGTCGTGTACAGTTGTTCAGCGATCCATTTTTATAAATGTCTGACATTGAACTAAAACAAAACATGTTTGGGTCGAAAGGTTCCAGAGTACAGCCCTGTACTTTTGAAACCATGAAATGGATAAGCCTGTCTTCTTCCGCTTATGCGATTTTAGTCGAATTTATTGTGCCATGCGCTCCCTTTTCTCTCTTCTTGGCGCCAATTGAAGATACTAAATACAGCCAGAGCGCTCTCTACCTGGACTTTCGAACGGAGTGGAGGTCTTCATTTCCTCTGCCACATAGCAGGTTACGGGAACGATGATGGACTTGTAGAGTGGACTCAGCGGGCTGTTGAGGCCAATAATGTCAATATCATCGGCGTACATCAGCAGCTGTAGAATATTTTATCTTCTCTGTTAGGGTCTGAAGCTATTACAATTATCTCCAGGTGAGGTCATCATCGTAAGGGGGTCTCTCATCCGGGGTATGCCAAAATTTTTCATTGAATCTGGTTTCTATGTGGCGCGTCACAAACTCAGCGCACAACCTCGCTGGGCGAGTGAGTTTAAAGTTTGTACATATTTATCTATCAAGCCGTTTGCTTCAAGACCGACACCCGCTCGCAGCCGCACCTCTTGGGAACAGACGCTGCAATGACTTCAGCAGATACTTAAACGGATTAAGTCGGAGTGGCTCCACTGAAGCTTCCTCTTTCATTAGGCGTAATCCAAGGCTCCACACGGGTTGGTTACCGCATCTTGCACAAGAGTCGCTCACGTTTCCACGGTGCGTGACGTGGACGCAAGAGTAGGAGTCAAGTATAGCCTCGCAACTGCAAAAGCATACCCAAAAGCTTGACTACACCCCATTACACCCCATAACCCTATATATCTTCTTTTTATACAACGCTTGAGATATTGCCTTCACAAACCCTTTGAATAAAGTTATTGCGAAAAAATTAATACAACAATAACAAAAACGTTGAGTAAATGAACTTTACTCGATACTAACAAAGCGAAGGTTGTTTGCCAACAGCTAAGCTTGGTCTGCAGAGCACCATTATATAAAATTTACAACAATAAAGCATAAGAAGAAGCAACTAGTGAAGCGTAAAAATAGATACGATCATCTCCCGCATATCGCACAACAACAACGACAATACGGAAAAATGGCTTGGAAGATGGCTACGTGCCAAGTTAATCCGTTGATCCGTTGCCAAGGTGTTTCGATTCCTTACAGTACATTGTTCGTTCTTGGAGTTGAATAAAACACAACACTTGCGGGGCTGGCAATATCAACTGCCTCCAATTGTTCCTAAGCCCTTTTCTGCCACGTGCAGTTGCAGCAACACAACCTTTGTTGGTTGTTGGCAGCAGACAAGTGCGTGGGCCTTGATTATGTGGCAAATTTTACGTTATTTCCTTTAGCCAAAAAAAAAAAAATTAAAAAAAAAAACAACGTTCAGACAATTGTGCCAACTCCAGCCAACAGCTGCAAGCTCATCGTGTTTTAATCTACAGCAACAACAACAAATGAGACAAGAGTTGTTGTAACAAGGCTTGACGATTTCATAGCTGAGAATTGTTTGCGCTTTACTTGTTGTTGTTGTTATTATCCACCTTGTTGTTTTGCTGGCAATTCTTTAAATTTGCAATGTGCAACTTGCAACTTACAACATTGCGCAGAATTTAACGAACCACAAAATGCGGCGACATCTGCGTCTTGCAATCAGCGTTGAATGCGTCGCCCATTTGATGCGGCAGGAGCCCCGGCGGCAGCAGCAACAGCTTCTGGGGAGCCACCTTCCTTGAATTCTATGTGAGACTTATTGTTGTTGTTTTATTGGTATTATATGGGTGTTGGAGATGTTGCAGCTGCAAGCTGTAAATACTCTAGGTGTGTGTGTGTGTGTGCCTGTACACCCAACAATACAGCAATACACAACAAGCATTGTCTATAAATGTAGAATTTTTTTATGTTGTCAGTTGATTGTTTTTGTTGTTGTTATTATTATTATTATTGCTGTTGCTAAGATACGTAGTAATGTAGTTATTGCTCGTAGCATAGACTTTGGTACCTTATGGCGCTTTGCGTTGCGCTAAAGTCGTTGTCATTTCCGGAGGCGCAGAAGCCTGGCCACATCGAGCTCATATAGTCCTGCACTCTGTTGTCTATCGGTACATCCTCTGGTGCTGAGTACACTCACTAAGTGCTCGTTTGTGGCATTGCTTTTTTTACAGGCCTTTCTTAGACTTTTATTGTTGCCACGGCTTTATTTTGTCTACTTACTCGGCCTACAACAGACTGCCTGTTGTGAAAAATAATCAGGCATTGCCATTTGTGGAGGTTGTAATAGCGCGCCGCACTGCAGGTACAGACTGAAGTCTGCAGACAAATGTTCGTTGGAGGATCATCATCAGCGCCAGGCGGTTATTGTGTGGGCCGTCATGGCAGTTTGCGCAGGTGTTCTACAGACTTGAAGG